ACGTAATGTTTGAGCGTGCTGGTTACGCCCACGTTTCTGTTATGATCAATCTCCACACCATCAAGCTCGTATCGAATCTCATCGAACAGGAACGCGACAAAATTATTTCCCAACACTACATCAGATCCCTCGACAACTCTGTTCTTCGTTAGTTTTCCCTCGATATATAGAAAGCTTTCGTACGGCAATGTGTACAGATCCTGTTGCTGTATAGGTATTCTTATCTCATCGCTGTACCCGAACGTCGTATTGGCGAACGGGTTGTACGCATGAGTCTCAATCTTGACGATGCGATCGTCAAAGATTGGCTCGTCTTCGATGTTTAGGATATCAGTTATTTCACAAGTTGCGCACCGCGAATCCTAAAGCTTGTAAAAATTTAACGTTCGACGCGTTAAGTTTCTTCCTCTTCTTGATGCAGTCGGATGAGCGAATATTGTCGATTGATGTTTTCTTTGTAAAAGATGCGTTATCTCTCTGCGTATGCTTCGCTTCGTTCAACACGAGCATCTCAAATGTCACGCTCGCGTTATCGCTGTCGCCGTCGTACGTGCAATCTGACGGTGATCTCTTCTCCTCTGAAATCGAGCAATCGTCCGTTTTGGTCAACAATGCGTATCGTTAGCTCCGTAATGCTCCGTACGATGACTGGCAGGTAAATGATCTACATCGGCCTTTCCGATATCTTATATCCTGGCGGCACGCTCGGCGAAAATTCATGTATCGTGTGCACACTTTTGTCGTTGCTATATGCGCCCGCGGTCACGTTGCACTCTGTACGGATAATGTTTACGTTCATTATGTTGATCGACACGTCCGATTCGTGCCATTTTCGCGGTTGTAGTATACGCCTCGAGAAACTCAACAGCGATCCAATGTTATGAGACTTGTTAAAGTTTATTCTGTAGGTGCATTTAATCTCACACCTCATCGTGTTGTAATTTGCGCGGAGCACTATCGGGTATTCTCCAATTTCGTCATCGCCACGCGCGATGTCACCAGCGTTACCCTCGGGCGCGTCGCGTCGCGGACGTTTCTGTAAAATCTCACGTTTCAAAAATTCATTTATGG